GGACCTTGGCCAATCCCCAAGCAGGAGGATGGGCATGATGACCAAGGCAACCCTTAAGAGTCAAAAAGCCTGGGAGTAGTTAGTGTCCGGTGGAAGATGGAGTGAGAGGCTGGAGGGGACCCAGGAAAGGGGCTTACCTACAGGCAGGTGCTGGAGAAGGGTATCTCCACTGTACCACATCTACCAGGAGGGACAGCCTGAGCAGCAGGGAAGGAGCCAGCCCAGCAGAAGGCCTGAAGGCAGCCACCAACCCATTAAGTAATCAGGAAGCACAGTGTTAGTAGTAACCTTACACCCGCTAGGACAGATAAGGGGAGAGGGCAGTCAGGTGGAGAACCCAAATAGCTCCTCATCTTGGACTTTTGAAGTTGCCCAGGGAATACCCTTAGTGCAGCTGGATGAAGAGGAGGATTATCTGGGGTCTAAGGAGGTACACCAGAGAGCTAAAATGCTCTCGGAGAAGACAGTCTTTTCTTTTTGTCCTTGGACTGGTACATAGCTGCTAAGGAGTTGTCCTCGCAGTTCACAGTTCCTTGGGCATTCCAAGCATCCCTCAACCCTATCCAAGTTCAATACCCCTTAATAAAACTACAAAACAAATAAGCCCAAGGACTGGTTGCTGTCTCCAGTGTGCAAGTGTGGAGGAAGAAAATGTGTGATAACTGGCTGTGCAGAACTATGGGGGATCCAAAACTGAATTGTATAGGATTCTCTAAGTTACCTGTTAATAACATGGGCAAAGGGCAGCAGAATAGGGATGAGCAAAATATGTAGCTTATAGCAATCTGGAAAAGATTTTGCATTTTGATTTTTTAAGTGGTCACATTCCCTCTGTTCTCAGCTGCATAAGAGCTAGGGGAGGAAAAACAGTAGAACACTGATCTTCCTAGTGAATGACTGTGAAGGGGGGGCTGTCAGGACAAGTCTGACCATTGGAGGAAAGCACACAGTGTTCTTAGCACAGCTAGAGACCTGGCCATGCTGTGCGTCCTGCGTTGTGTGGTCAGTTTTCAGTAGGAAAGCAGAGGAACTGGCAGGAAAACCAGGGATTTCACACAAAGGAAGCAATACAAAGAGGGCAGGAAACTTTTTCATACAAGTACATGGTTACAGCAGCACATACCAGGAATGTGAGATGTTGGATTTACATATTATTTAACTGTGTCTGATTTTAAATTCTCTGTGTATCATATAAGGCCTACAACAACTGAGCTAAAGGAAGAAATAGCAATGCTTTCCTCAGTATTAACAGTTCATCATCGAATTGATAAAATTCGTTACCAAAAAAAACTTTGAAATGGATTTGTCAAGATACACAAATGCACAGACTCCCAGAAAACTACAAGAGGCAAGTACTACATTTTGTGTGAGAATTCCATAACAGCAGTCCACCATTTTATGTTTTATGGTGCTCTCTCATGCAAAGAATGATGCAATGCATCTTAAGGTGTCTAGGAATTAATCCATCAACACCAAGGCAATAGGGTTGATTTACTAAAGGAAAATAGACTGTTCACTTTGAATTGAATGGGGAGTTGTACTTTGGCAAGGAATCCCCCAGAGCTTAGTAAATGTGGTGAAGCTCTGTTGACTTTTACCATCTAACATGCAAAATTCCGCTTTTTTTTTTTTTTTTTTTTTTTTTTTTATATTCCTTGCATGTGATTGGGTATTCTTTGCAAAGTGAAATTTCACTACATACACTAAACTCTGAAAAAGCTTCCCATGCAAAGTGAACATCTGACTTGCCTTTAGTAAATCAGCCCAAATGTGTCAGTCCCTGAGATCATCTAAAGCAGTGATCTCCAAACTGCGGCCCAGGGGCCAGATGCAGCCCTTTACTTGCCTCTATCCAGCCCTTGGGACACTATTGTTCCAACTGACACCAATGGTGAGGCACCATTCCTCCAAATTTCACCATTCATGGGACACTCTTCTTCCCACTGATACTATCGATAGGGCATTATTTTTCCTGCTAAGACCAATGATGGGCACTATTTCTCCCACTGACACCATCGATGGGGCACTAGGCCTCCAACTGATACCAACCATGGTCACTATTCTTCCTGCTAAAGCGAACAACAGGGCATTATTCCTCCTGTTAAAACCAATGGTTGAGTAGTGTTTACTCCCACTGATGCTGGGACATTTTTTATGCACACTGGCCACATTTCGGCCCCCCTAAAGCCTTAAGGACAGTCAACTGGCTCTTTGTTTACAAAGTTTGGAGACCCCTGATTCAAAGACTCCAGTGTGACAGTCTCAACAAGTCCCAAATCCAGTTAGTATGCAATGCAAATGCCACAGAAGAAAAAGTAAGCTAAACCCTCTTACATTTGTACTTGTATAGATCCTAAGGCTCACAGTGCAAAGGATCCAGCAACAGAGAGAGTGCTGGCAATCAAGTTAGTGAGCTGGGCTAAATGCACTGCTGATTGAGAAGCTAAGTCCTGCTAATTAACTGACAATTCTGATAGCCAAGCCCCCTGCAATGGCTTATCCTACAGTTGTGCAAATTGGCACAGCCTATATTTGAGTAACAATGCTGCTCTGAATTCATTGTTACCCTTTCAAAGCAAACTGCATGATGTAGGCTTCACTGGCAGAATCAATTTTGTTTTAACAGGAGAACATAATTCTACTTTTAGACTTCTTTCATATGGTACATTTGTTTCAACTGTGGGTATAGGATTATAACTTTTTTTTTCTATAGTTGAACTGGATGGACTTTTGTCTTTTTTCAGCCAGACTAACTATGTAATTGAACATGAAATTAAAGCAAGGGGGGAGAATTTTACTCTGTCTTTAAATAGCCTTCACAGTTAGGTCCTTAGAGTACAGAAAATGATATCTTATCAGAAGTGTAGCTAAAATCCACTAGTCCTTGGTCTAAATTTTAACAGGGTTCCTCTATTATGCTAATACATATTTCAATTACACTGTCAAGCCACAGTGCTCCTACTTTTTTAATTATAACATTTTACTTTCTATACAAAATACAATACAAGCACATAAAAGGGAAAAAGACATTGCTTGGGCCACTGTCTTTCTAGGCCCAGGAGCAAGTGGTTCCTCTTCAGGGGCGGACTGACAACTTATGGGGCCCCTGGGCAATAGGGGATCATGGGGCCCCTGTGTCCTTGCCCAAACTCAAAAAAGCCTATGAAAAAGGTACCAGGGGCATCTCATGGGGCCCCCTACTGACCCCGGGCCCTCGGGCAGTGCCCAAGTTTCCAAATGGTCAGTCCGCCCCTGTTCCTCTTTGCTGCCTATAGATACACCCTGATCTCTCACACCAGGTGAGATCAAAGTAATGCCAATGTATTCTAGAATCTTCAAGGGCAGGACAAAGGAACAGGGGCATTTGTACCAGCCCTCCAGTTCCACTGAAATCCATGTAAAGGAATTGCTTTTTAATGGAAAGGCATATCTATTAGCTCAAACCATTCGAAATGTTACAATCTGAGAGCTTGAAACTTATATACATAAATGATTTGACATATGGGTCTATCTATAAATGCTTTCACCCAAGATTCTCACAACTTTCACCCAGGATTCATACATTTCTGAATGGATTCAATCGGTACAAATTGTGAGCATCCTGGGTAAAAGTTGAGCGACTTTTGGGTGAAAACATACACTGATCAGCCATAACATTATGACCACTGACAGGTAAAGTGAATAACATTGATTATCTTGTTGCAACGGCATCTGAAAGTAGGTGTGGTATGTTAGGCAGTAAGTGAACATATTGTCATGAAGTTGATGTGTTGAAAATAGAAACAATAGGCAAGTGATTAGGCGATTTTGGCAAGAGTCAAATTATAATGGCTAGACAACTGGGTCAGAGCAACTCCAAAACTGCAGCTTTTTGGGATGTTTCCCAATCTTCAGTGTTCAGGACCTACCAAAAGTGGCCCAAGCAAGGAAAACTGAGGAACTGGCGAGAGGGTCATGGGCGACCAAGGCTCACTGATGCTTGTGGGGAGCAAAATCTGGCCTGTGTAGTCCAATCCAATAGAAAAGCTAATGTAGCTCTAATTGCTGAAAAAGTTAATGCTGGTTCCGATTGATTGTCAGAGCACACAATGCATCTCGTGTGTTGTGTATGGGGCTGTGGAGCCACTGACCAGTCAGGATACCCATGCTGAACTGTGTAAACAGCCAAAGTGTCTGCAATGAACACATGAGCATTAGAACTGGACCAAGGAGCAAATGGAAGAAGGTGGTTGGGTCCGATGAATTCAATAATGGTTTGAGTAACACAACAACGAGTTTGAGCTGTTGACTTGTCCTCCAAATTCTCCAGATCTCAATCCAATTGAGCATCTGTGGGATGTGTTAGAAAAACAAGTCTGATCTACGGAGACCCCACTTCGCAAATTATAGGACATAAGGGATCTGCTACAGATAGATTGGTGCCAGATACCACAGCATATCTTCTGAGGTCTAGTGGAATCCATACCTTGGTGGGTTATGGTGGGTGATCATAATGTTATGGCTGATTGGTGTATATACAGTGCTCAACATACTGTAAATGAGTACACCCCTTTTGAAAAGTAAGATTTTAATCAATCTCTCAATGAACACAAGAACATTTTCCAAATTTTTTACAATTCTGAGTTTTATAGAACATTTTTTTAGCTCATTATATGAAAGTAAGGTTAATAATATAACTTTGATTATACAATCTTCAGTTTTACTCAAATTAGTTGATGCAAAAATGAATATACCCCACAAAAACTACTCCATCTAGTATTTTGTATGACCTCCATGATTTGTAAGGACAGCACCAAGTCTTCTAGGCATGGAATGAACAAGTTGGCAACATATTGCAACACTTATCTTTTTCCATTCTTCAAGAACGACCTCTTTTATAGCCTGGATGCTGGATGGAGAGTGATGCTCAACTTGTCTCTTCAGAATTCCCCATAGGTGTTCAATTGGGTTCAGATCAGGAGACATACTTGGCCACTGAATCACTTGCACCCCGTTCCTCTTCAGAAATGCAACAGTGGCCTTAGATGTGTGTTATGGATCATTGTCATATTGGAAAAGTGCACATCGACCAAGGGCACGGAGTGATGGTAGCATCTTCTCTTTCAACATAGAGCACTACATCTGTGAATTCATGATACCATCAATGAAATGCAGCTCCTTGACACCAGCAGCACTCATGCAGCCCCCCAGAAGGATACTGCCACCACCATGTTTCACTATAAGCACCATGCATTTTTCTTTGTACTCCTCATCTTTGCAATACCATGCAGTTTTGAAGTCGTTAGTTCCCAAAACATTTATCTTGGTCTCATCACTCCAGAGTACAGAGTCCCAGTAGCCTTCTTTTTCATCATGGGCCCTGGAAAATTCTAGGCAGGTTTTTTGTGCATGGGCCTGGACGTCTCTGTGAGATGTTTGCAGTTCCATCTTTGCTAAATTTTTGTATCACTTTTGCTACAGTATTCTGATTGATAAGTAAAGCTTTGCTGATCTTTCTGTAGCCTTCACCTTTTTTGTGTAAAGAAATAATTTTTTTTCTCAGACCTTGTGACATTTCTCTTCCATGTGGTGCCATTGCTGACAGCATGCAATGGGGACGGGTTTTCTTTGTTAAGTAACGCCCTTTTATAATCAACTGTCTGCTGGACACCTGTTTAATGAATAATTAGACTCACCTGTAGTTGAATTCTTGTTAATTAGGATTTTGTTGTCTAAAATTTAGCTTTGTTCCTAAGACTTTCATTGGGGTGTATTCATTTTTGCAACATTGTCTTGAATTATTTTGTTAGGAAAAATACCTTTTTGTGTGTGCCAATTAACAAATCTTGTTTGCAATTAATGGCCTGCATATGGGAGTGTTTTGTAGTATAGTGTCCCATAGAAAATGTTGATTCTGAAAGGAAAGTAAAGGTTTTCTGACAATTCTGTTGGGGTGTACTCATTTATGGTGAGCACTGTAAATAAACTCTTTAGTGTGTAAGGTACGTGTCTGGAAGTAATGTTTTGTTTCATTACAGTTACATTTGATGGTATGGGACCTCCTTCAGTGTAAGTTTTGGCAGTTTTGTAAAGTTTTCATCAGTGAATGCAGAAACGATGACTGCAGTACAGATAAGGAGAAACTAGATGCCATATTTCTTCGGTAAGTTTTTTTGCCAAAACTATGATGGAAGTGCTTTTGCTTCTTTCAAAAGAGGAGCTGATGTGTTGTACTGTCCTATTGAATGAAACCCCAATGATTGGTATGAATTGCAGTATGCATATTCCAGGTTTCTGTATCACAAGTCATCCCTTCAAAACCATTTCTAGCAGAAACACATGCCAGCAACAACTCAGAATAGACATTGTAATTCCTTCCCATTCCTCATGACAGGTTGGAAACAAAGTCTGATCACACAAATTTCCTTTGAGCCGGGTTTACACTGAATCCGACTTTGAAAATGTGCAACTTCACTTAAAGTCGCAAGATTCCAAAGTTACATGGCAGAGCGACTTGTAAAACATCTGTGCCCTTAATGCAAAGACGTCTATGCAAGTCGCACCCAAAAGTAGAGCAGGAACCACTTTCAAAATGGTTTCCTTTGCAAACAATAGGGTGCGACTTGGCATGCAATTTTAACTGTCAAATTGCATGACAAGTTACATTAGTGTGAACGGGTACTAAAACCATAGTCAGGGAGTTCACCTACCATCTAGTGTGCCTTCCATGCCACAACTCATTGTACACAATGCAAACCAAACTCATCACTCTTAAGGGGCACATGTTCCATTAAATAACATATAAAATGTAAAAACCTGTGCTTGGATAAATACACACAAAATACAAATTAAATAAAATAAAAGAAGCTGCTTGCATAAAAAGGGCTGTGTATAGTGACCGGTGTATTTCAGTCTGAACGTCCGGTAAGGGGCTTATTCATTCGGGTGCCTTGGTGATGGTATATGGTGCCGAACTCCTCTCGTGCAATTTATCCAAATCTATTTGATTATTATTTGGACTTTCTGATTATTATGTTATAGATTAGCACTGCATTTTCTTTGTTTCCATTGAATAACAGCCTAAGCTTTTCTTATAGGAAGGGTATTTGTAGATGACAGAACAGAGTTATTTTTCATTAAGTATTAAATTGGATTTTTTAAGCACCTGACTAAAAACTTGGATGATGGCTCATGAGCAGGAATTCACATCTAGAATGTTTGATACATGTATTAGGAATTGTTTGTAGCTTGGCTAAGACAACAGTTACATTTTTTACATTAATAGTACTGCACTTCTACTTTTAAGCCACTAGAGGCTGCTGTTGTTTAACAGTAATACTTTGTACATTTTATGGATCACACATGCAAGTAAAAGGTACAATACATTAAAAGGTTCATTCTCTAGAGCTGGGGTCCTTAACCTGGGGTCCATGGATAAGCTTCAGTGGGTCTGTGAGAGCCAGGTAAAAAAAATAGCACTTACTTTGCCTATACAGCCCCTCGCCCCTTACCCCAATCAGTAGTTTCCCACTGAAAGAAACTAAAGGATAAGTTAACCTTTTATTTAATAAATAAATAAAATAAATAAATAATGCACAATTTTTTTGCAGGTTAAAAAAAATGTGCATTTATTTATTACACTGGAGCATGTAAAGCATTACACCCATGACTAGCAGATTGCAGGTACACTGAACAATGAACTATGAGAGTGTTCATTAGTACCCTCCTAGTTCTTTGAGAACAACAGGCTGTCTGCTGTAGATGGTAGTTGTAGCTCATTCATTCACAGAACTTTGTGAACGAATAATGCCACCATATGGGTGGAGCCCCGCACAACCAGGCTGCTTTTAACCCCTTGGCACCGTCACCTCCTGGCTCTTTAACCACTTGCCTACAGGGCACTTATACCCCCTTCCTGCCCAGGCCAATTTTCAGCTTTCAGCACTGTCGCACTTTGAATTACAATTGCGCAGTCATGCAACACTATACCCATATGAAATTTGTTTCATTTTTTTTCACATAAATAGAGCTTTCTTTTGGTGGTATGTACTTGCTGCTGGGTGTTTTATTTTTTGCGCTATACACAAATAAAGTGCAAAAATTTTGGGAAAAATCCATCCTCGGACAATTGCCGGTTATCGGCAGTACTTTCCTCACACTGTGACAGCATGAGGAAAGTGCAGCCCATAACCGGCAACTGCATTTACCGGTGATCTGCTGTGTCATTGGACACGGCTGATCACGTGGTAAAAGGTCGCTGTGATTGGCCTTTTACCACATCACGTGATCAGCTGTGTCCGTAGGGGGCACGCGGGAGGGGGCGCGTTCTGGGAGGATGTCATGTGACACCCTCCCAGAACCGGCTGGCCATGGTGAAGCTGTCATTTGGCTATCTGCGGTTGGCAAGTGGTTAAGAGGTTTGTGATGCTGGGAGGCAGGGTTTAGGGTCATGTGATCGCCGTGATTGGCAGTCACAGGATTAGAAATCTCCTGACTGCAGTGATTTGGACCTTTCCCTGAGGCGCCAGTAAATGTGCCAGGAGTGTGCAAGGCGTGCCCAACTGCCAAGAGGCCCCATATTTGCATATGTTCGGCCCCAAGGAGTTAAATTGTTATATTCAGTTGCAGGGAGAAGATCTCCTGCCAGCCGTCACAGGAAGGGGGTGGGGGGGAGAAAGGAAACAGGAGCTGGAACATGTTATATGTTTAATCCTAAATAAGGGAGGAACATGTAACATGTTCCAAAGATGAACTTAGCCTTTAACAACTTGCCCCTTCAGAGGATTGACCCCCCCGACCAAGGCATTTTTTGCTATACGGCGCTGTGTTACTTTAACTGACAATTGCTCGGCCGTGCAACGCTGCACCCAAATGAAATGCATGTTCTTTTTTCCCCACAAACTCTTTCGGTGGTATTTGATCGCCTCTGTGGTTTTAATTTTTTAATGCGCTATGAAAAAAAGTCTACCAATTTTGAGAAAACAAAACTATATTTTGGACTTTTTGCTATTAAACATATCCATTAAAAATTTTTTAAAAAAAAATCAAATTTCTTAATAAATTTAGGCCAAAATGTGTTCTGCTACATGTCTAAAAAAATCCCAATACGTGTAAATTAATTGGTTTATGTGAAAGTTACAGCGTCTACAAATGGCGGTATATATACTGGCATTTTTTTTTTATACTAGTAATGGTGGTGATCAGCAACTTATAGCGGGACTGCGGTGGGCATTCTGACACTGGGGGGGAACTGACTTGGTGTCACGGACATCCCCAGTGATACTAATACAGTGTCTTGCACAAATGCCTTCTTGTGCCACTCCATAACAAGTGCTAATTCTCATTTTGCAATAGTAGATTTAAGCAGAACTAAAATTATTTTGTTTAACCACTTGCACTCCTGAGGATTTACCCCCCCTTAATGACCAGGCCTCTTTTTGCTACTCGGCGCTGCACTAATTCAACTGATAATTGTGCGGTCATGCAATGCTGTACCCAAACTAAATTTACGTCCTTTTTTTCACACAAATAGAGCTTTCTTTCGGTGGTATTTGATCACCTGTGCGCTTTTTATTTTTCATGCTATAAACAAAAAAAGACCAAAACTTTTGAAGAAAAACAATATTTTTTACTTTCAGCTATAAAAAATATATAGTAAACTCAAAGTTAGTTATACATTTAGGTCAAAATGTATTCTGCTACATGTTTTTGGTAAAAAAAAATCCCAATAGGTGTATATTGATTGCTTTGTGTGAAAGTTATAGCGTCTACAAACTATGGTATAGATACTGTAATTTATGCCTTTTTTTTTTTTGCTATACAGCGCTGAGCTAGTTTAACGGACAATTGCATGGTCATGCAATACGGTACATAAATGAAATTTATGTCCTTTTTTCACACAAATAGAGCTTCTTTTTGTGGTATTTGATTACCTGTGTACTTTTTATTTTTGGTGCTATAAACAAAAAACTTTTTTGAAGAAAATTCTTTTTTTTAAAAAAAAAACAATATTTTCTCATTTTGGTCATAAAAAACATCCCAAAAAAAAAAAATAAAATTTTGTCATAAATTTAGGCCAAAATGTATTCTGCTACATGTTTTTGGTTAAAAAAAAAACAGTAAGTGTATATTGATTGCTTTGTGTGAAAGTTATAGCGTATACATGCTATGATATAAATAATGGAATTTACACAGCTTTTACTTTCTGACTGCCCATCACATTTCTTGAGGTGCTAAAATACCAGGATAGTACAAACACCTCAAATTACCCCTTTTCAGAAAGTAGATACCCTAAGCTATCTGCCGGGAGGCATATTGAGTCCATGGAAGATTTTTTTTTTTCCACAAGTTTCTGAAAAAGGACAAAAACATTTTTTTTT